GTTCAAATACATTTCATTTCAAAACAATCCCAAAGTCATAGTCTAATCTATAGGCATTAATACCTTCCACCAACTCAATAACAATAGTAATTTAAATTTTGTTCAATCAACCTCCCCTTTAATTTCCAAACAAAGTACAATTTAGGGTTTTTTCTTCTTTCCACAACAACATGCTAATTTACACCCCAATTAATCCAAAGGAACTATCAATGTAAAATAATCATTTTCAAACAACCAAACTCTAGGTTCCCCACATGGTTTTTCAAAGAAATTCAACATGATATGATTTTCATGCAATACAAACTACCACATGTCTATCTATCAGACGGAGTATTGAAAAGGAACAAGGAGAATTCCCTACCCCGCCCAAAGCCTCAAAGAAAACCAAGGAGAGAAGGGCCAACATTTGAAGTGCTCCAATCTCAAAGTTTTTCGGATCAAAACGAAGCCCAATGCAACCTCTATCTATCTTATCAAAGAGATTAGGATAGGAAACACCACAAGAACTAGATCACTCCTAGAGAAAAGGTGGAGTGTAGAAAGGAAGAGAGAGTCGAATTCTAGGGTTTAAGACAAAAGGGGAAATTCAAAAGTGAAGAAGAAGCTTCTGCTGAGAAGACTGATATATACGTTCCTCGCTCGGTAAAGAGTGGTCGCTTCGAGCGAGCCAGACACAAAGAAACCTCGCATCGAGCGCACAAAGACTGCGCTCGAGCGGAACACGAAGCTTCAGTGCTGCCAACCCAGAAAGCACGATCGAACGACAAAAACCTCTCGCTCGAGCGAAGAAGCAACAACACAAGGCTCGCTTCGAGGCAAACATAAGTCCCGGCTCGCGCGAAGAAGCTAGAAACGGACAGCAACCATATTGCTTCCAATCACAACCAGCCTGAAACGACACACGCTGCCAAAAACATCCTATAACTCAAATACAAAGTATTGAGGACGGAAACAAACTAAATACACAAACAATCCAAACAAAATCCTTTAATGGAAAAAAAAACCAAAGTCCGGAATAAAATAAAATGGGGGGAAAACCGGGATCACTATAGGTCTCTAATAGAGATTCGAAAGTTTACATCAAGTTCCTAGCAAAGTTGCACTCTTGCTGGAATCGAATTGCGATTAAGTACTGGCCTACCATCCACAGACAAACGGTTAATTGAAAAAAAGAACCAAAAATCCAAACCTTTTTGGGGAAAAAAGAAATTATGTTGCGACTGTGTGTGTTGGACTTCTAGGAAATGGGAGACTTACCTTACCTTTAAGCTAAGTTTGTATACAATACAATTATCATTCAAGTATTGGGATGGCTCCTTATAAAGTCTGTATGGAAGGAAATGTCTAGTTCTCCATATCTTTGGGCTGAAGTAGGTGACAGACCCATTGTTGGGACCAGAACTTGTACAAGAAACAACTGAAATGTGAAATTAATTCAACCAGAGGTTAAAACTGCACAAAGCTGCCAAAAGAGCTATGCTGATGTCCTGAAAGCGAGACAGGAATATGAAGTTGAGATCATGTGTTCATAAAAGTGACTCCAATGAAAGGGCAAAACACGTTTGTGTGGAAAGCAAGTTGGCACCGAATACATCGAACCATATGAAATTTCTTGAAAAGAGAATCAATTCAGTAACATTACCGAGTAGTCTTACCCAAAACCACCCATCCGGTCATTGGAGCATATGCATAATGTTTTTCACATATTCTATGCTTCGAAAGTATTTGAGAGGTCCATTACATTGATTGAACCGACTTATGTACTTCTAAAATGATGATTATAACATACGAGGAGAGCCAATGCCAGATTGTGAATTGTCGAATCAAAAGATGAGAAACAAGAAAATTCCATTAGTGAAGGTCGATTGGCAGAATCATGGAGGAACCTATGCAATTTGGGAAATAGAAGAAGACATGATGAAAAGATACCTTGAACTGTTCCTTTTGGACCCAGTATTCTTCCAAAATGAAGGTAAATCGAGTTTGGAGGACCAAACTCTTTAAAGAGAGAAGACTATAACAACCTCGACCCATGATTAACGTTAATTCATGATTTCATATGTCTAATAAGTTATTAAGATCAAATTCTAAATTAGTTATATGTGTGTTGTATTATTTGTGTTTATATCTGTTTAACGTAAGAAAATCTGTTTATGTTTCTGTTTTGATTTGCAAATTGAAGGCCTTATCGGCATCTGATTCAGAAATTGACTTAAATTATGTGTTGTTTAGGATTTATAGATTTTTTTGGTAGGTGTAATTGAAATTCAATTCGGAGCAATTAAATCAGAATAATTAGTGTCCAATTGATTAATTACTCAACAAATTAATTAGGCCATTAGCCAAGCCTATATAAGGCCACTTCAACACCTCTTATACACTTTTGCACCCTCATTTCCTCTTCCTTGAGCTTAAAACGTGTGGGGAGAGAGAGAGACTAAGAGAGACTTGAATTCAAGCAAAGGAATTGCTAGAAAACTTGGAGATTGGCTTGGAACTTCAAACAATTACCTCTATAGAGCATAGTTGATCATCTAAGGTAAGAAATTCAACCTTCTAGTGTAGGATTGAGTCACTTACCACATGAGTTTAAAGAGTTAAGTTGTGTAATGCTAGAATTGAGCTAAAATGAAGGAGTTTAGTTCATTCCATGCATGCATGTTTATATCATGGCATCTTGGGAAAGTTTTCAAAGAATTCTCCTATGCATGTTATCATTCTGCCTTAGCTTTGAGAATTCATCTCGGATAAACTACAGGAACCACTGCTGTAATTTTTCCTTCAAATTATTTGTCTATTTTTGTTAGATAAAATTGACGGAAAAATATATTTTAGTCATTAAACTCTATGTAGCCGCGTCTTAGAGTGCGGTGAGTGAAAAGTTTGGGGTTCGAGCTGATGGATCAGCGGCAACCCCTTTAAGTTGTAACCTAACTTTACTAACGTACTAACGTTCGATCTTTGACCCCTCTCCCAAAAAAAAAAGAAAAAAAAACGCCATGTAAGTATAAATTAAATTAAATGTCTAAAATACTTTTTTTTTTTGTTAAGTTTAATGGTTAAAATATCAAACTTTTTTGACGATTTTATAGACAAATAGTTCAAATTAAAAAAAAATTAAAATATTAAGATTTAAATTGATAAAAAAGATTTATTTTATTACAATGATCAAGTCTTGATTTATTTATTCATTAGTGTATGCCCGTGCCTAAAGGCACAGTGTAATGGTAAATCATACCCAAACAGTGACTTAGGCTGTAAGTCACTTAGGCTGCCACAAAACCAATGAAGGTTGCGGACCATCTATACCCATATCTGATTTATTGCTTATAAATAAGTGACTGGTTATTGCTTGTAAATCATACACCAACCTCCTCCAATACAAACTCAAATCCAAATCATACCCAAGCACATACTTAATCAACAAAAATAAAAAATCACACAAACCAATATTTCAATGAAATGGGTTTTGAAACCCATTTCAAAACCATCAAAAACAAATTTACCCTAAAGGACTACAAAAATCCAACTCAATGCCAAACTTAAGTCTCACAACAATACAATGTAAAATATCATAAACCCACAAAAGGGAACACCATCATCCTGTTTACTGTCTTTGGGTCCATGAAAAATTTACACACTCATTTGTTTAAGATCATTATCATCAACAACAAATCATATTTGTTCTTCGACGACAACACAATCGCCAAATCCTATATGTTCATCATCATCATAAAAAAAATCAAAAAATTAACAATAAAATAGATCAGAGCCTGTACAAATTTTAGCTACAAAAATTTATTTTGCACAGATCAAGTCTTACACATGTATCTTATCTGCATCATCATCATTCTACATCATCATAATTTTCCAATTTCAGTCAGTCAGTTCAGTACTTTAATCAGTTCAATTATCAGTCATAATCAATTCGGTTTAACGGTAATCGATGGTTATCGGTAATCAATCAGTCATAAGTCGGTAAACAGTATGAGGGTTGTTACAAACACCAACAACAATTAAAGATCAATCGGCAAGAAAAACATAGATCCAATCCTAAAATCAACAACAACAACAATGAGCACTCATAACACTCAGATCATCACAACACCAACAACAATTAAAAATTAATCAGCAAGAAGAACATAGATCCAATCCTAAAATCACTGCACATACTTCAATCGTTAGATATTGATTAGGAATCATCTCGGCCATTCAAACGAAATGTATCTCTGATACATTTTGGGACAAATTCAAAACTCATTCTCCCTTATTCAAAAAATATAAAAAAATAAATCAAAAATGGGTATAGATGATTTACTATCTTTAGGTCTATGAAAATCCACATTAAAAATAAAAATAATAAATCAGAGATGGGTATAGAACTCTTGCATACCATCATTGATCATCTCCACCTTATAGTCACTCATAATCCTATTTCACAACAATCAAAACCCAATACCTACTGTTTTCAATGGTGCCTTTTTTCTTTTCTTTTTTTAATGACACTCAATGGTGTTCTTCATACACTATCACCACAACTATATTACAGGGCAAGTAGACATTGCAAACCAGTTCTTGGTGCTTGTAATTAATTATGGAGAATGGAATTCAAATCAAATGTATTAGATTAAAACTAAATGATCCATAATAGTAGTATGTACATAACCTAAAACTAAATGACCCATGATAACAATATGTACATAACCTTAAAGCATAGGATTCCCAAAAAACTTGCCCTTGCACTGCTGTTCTTTTTTATTTATATCGGATTTGTTGCAAGATTATCCACTTATGAATTCCTACTCTTTATTTAATTGTCTCCCCACTCACCCTCACTTTAAATACCCTCCTTTCTTCTATTACTAACCACTGTTTACAGGAGATAAAGTGTGAAATGGCTGGTGAGATTGAAGTTGCCAGTCAACCATCTTCCAGGAGGTACAAAGAGTTGTGATCCACCGTCTGATTCAAACTGGCTAAGATGAGCTATTGTTGCCTTGAATGCCTCTGTATTGAAGATGCTTCTATCACCAACTCCTCCAAAATCTGTTAAGCTGGCGCTGTGAGCTCTGCAGCTCATAGCAGAGTACTCAAAGTAGTCCAAAACACGCGCTTTTTGGGCATCAACATTGCTCAAATTCAATAGAAAAACAACCAGAAGTACTGAAACCGCATCAAATATCTATAACATTAAAGAAAAAAAAAACTGATATTTCATTTATATTTCACTCATGTTTTATTTTTACTTTCCAAATTCATGCCAAAAGACTAAAACTCGGAAATTTTAAAGAGTTTTTTTAAAGCAAGATTTGGACTTTTGGCAATGGGATTGGTTGGGCTGCTAGGACATGAGAACCCATATTAAACAAAAATCAACATTGTTAATGTCTAGTGCATAACTTGTGCCTAAAGGCACTCCCATATAACCTTTTTTTTGGGGGGGGGGCGATCGAACCCATATAACCACTTAAATAGTGGATTTTGTTCCTTGTACCAAAAAAAAAAAAAAAACTATCACTCATACGATTTGTGGAGCTTTAGACTTGGAAGTCATACATATACGTCAATTTAATGTTACATTACCTCACCAATTTAATAGCATAAATTCAAACCTAGGTTAAGTAAATCCATTTTTAATCCAACTTACCAAAATCAGCTATCGAGAAAAATCATTGCGGCCATTTAATGCCAAGGTTGTTAAAATTGGAATCCTACATAAGATCGATGAGAGGGTATCATGGATCGGATTGTAGGATCAGATTGAGAATCGTAAGATTCTGCTTTCTAGGTAAAAATACAAATTAGAATGATGAATAATAAAAATAAGGTGAAAAATCATAAATCCAGTGATCCTACTTATGATCCTACCTACGATCCTACTTCCGATCCTACTATAACACCAATCCTACAACGATTTGGATCGTTTTGACAATTTAGGATTGTAGGACTATGATCCAAATTGCGATTTTGATAACCATGTATAATGCCCCAATGTGGTTGAATAAATTACATGAATGAAAACATACTTCAAAGAGAGTAATTGTAGGGATGATGCAAAAGTCATCAATTAAAAACAACTATAAAATTGAAATTATTGCTCTAAAATATAGCCAAATAAAAGTATTTGAAATTATTGACCTTCTTTCTTTTCACTTCTGATATTGTTTCTTGTCACTTGATTTGGGCTCACATCAAATTTCAGAGGCTTTATCTTCAATATCAAATGCACCCAATAGTTCTAACTGGCCTTTCACAATTATTTTCTACTGTAACTGAAGTTTAGAGCTAGGGAATTAAAATAAAAGAAAATAGAGACAGGGAGAGATAGAAAGAGTAGTCGATGGCCTAAAAGGCGCATATATTGTATAATGAAAAGGAGAAAAAATTTAAAAGGAAAACTCACATTAGGAATTTTAGGATGGTTCTTCTTTGAGGATTAAAAGCAGTACGCTATTCTTTTCCTCTTCTACATGGAGGATGAATAGAGCTTTTCCTTCGATCTGAAAGGATATTGGATCTGAAAGGGTCTTGTAGACATAAGTTCCATTGAGGCTTCAATGGCTTTTAAGGATTTAAACTCACAAAACCAAACCATACTTGAAAAAATATAAGAATTCATTCCAAAACAATGAATTTTCTGAACTCATTTTTTTTCCCAACTCGATGCTCTAAATTTTTTCTTTCTTTCTTTTTTCTTTCAATAAGTATTAACACATCAATCTAAGGAAATTCAAAAGTTCCAAGTGGTGTCCAATTGGAACTCACCTTTAAATGGTAAATAAATTCTCAAGCTTTCTCCACCAATCTGGTAGCACCACAGCAATTAAGTATTGCACCGTTGAATTTCACATGTTAAGTATTGGCAAAAGATCAATATTGCAACTAACAGAGAATAGAGTACATATTTATACCCCTCAAAAAAACACTCATTAGTTTTACAGTGAGCAAGAAATTGGGTACCGATGATATGTATACAAATTGGGTACCGATGCTATTAAATAAAATATCCATTATATAATCATTGAAGTGGATTCCACACCAACTGATTGTGTGAATGCTATTTGTTAATTGCTCCTCGTGCAACAAACCAAGTGACAGAACATTCCTAAAAAATGTAAAGTCCTAAAAAAACAATTTTACCCTTCTCATTATATGAACAAAGGTATTATATTAAAATAGTCATTATATATACATAGAGATAGAAAACTAATTACATTTAAATTTATCCACCAAAAAAAATCAACATTTTCTACAAACATTTTCCAAAAAGAGTGGATTTGAAGAAAAAAAAAATTTAAACCCACTTTCCAGTGGGTTTGAAAACCAACATTTGAAGTAGATTTAAAAACCAACATTTTCTAGTGTATGCTCGTGTCTAAAGGCACGGAGGAAATTATATTGAGTTTAATCTTCTCCTATCTAATCTTTTATGTAGTACATGGAAAATTTATTTACAAAATAATTTTGGAGAAAATTGTTCCTTTCTTATAGCATCACACTATTATTCTTGAAGTTATCAATCTTTCTTGTTCTAATTGAAGAGGTTGGTCTCATTTGAACTTAGGCTAAAATTAGAAAAGAATATAATCTCCGTGATTACAATATTAACAAACCATCTCTAATGTGTAAAAAGAAAAGGCATGAAAAGAAAAATTATAAATTGCCGCCCACCCCCATTGTGCAAAATTGAAGTGTATCAAAGCCCAAAGTTTAGTAGGAAAAATGTATCAGTTAGTTAAGTAAAATGTATGATTAGCAAACTCATGAACATATTACCCTTAAGTCTCAGTAATATTACAGTATTAGTTAGTTACAACACTCATTTCACGTTCCTAAGCTTAAGTCTCAGACTCTTCATATTACACTTCTCTCTTGCTAAAGCTTAATTATAAACCAATTACAGAGAAAGAGAAAAATAGAAAGTAAAAAAAAAAGACAGATGAGCAGTCTTAATTCCAGTCTAGACGATTCCAACATTAGATAACTATCTGTTGGCCTGAGGCCATGGTCCAAATAATGTTCAAGAGAACTCAAAAATATAGACAGATGAGCAGTAGTTGGACATCCTAGCATTAAAAAATCCTTGTGTTCATCAATAGTGCAGAACGATGATTCAACCTAACCAATACAGGTTTAAATTATGCATGACAGTGAATAAATTATCCCAAAATGATAGCAATTTGTTGTTATGTTAGTTATAGGCTAGCAGTTCATACCACGTGGAGGAGCACCCATGTCTAAAGCCTCCAAAAGATAGCCAAATTTTGTTTCCGCCTGTAGACAAAACAAAACCCATATTACATTTGGGTCAATAGTTTCTAGATTTAACATTCGGCTATTCCTTTCCTTGGGAGCAATAAGTATTAACACATCAATCTAAGGAAATTCAAAAGTTCCAAGTGGTGTCCAATTGGAACTCACCTTTAAATGGTAAATATATGTGGTTGTATCTATCATTTCAAAAATATTTTAACTAAAAAGAAAATAAAAATCAGAAAGTAGTGTGCAAACCACAGTGATCTACCCAAAACTTGCTAGGAACTATTTTCCAAAGTGCCAACATCACATGTGTTTCAATTCAATGTAGTGCGCACACCACAGTGATCTAATATCTTGAAGAATTGGTCAATGCATGAAAATATATTGATGATTGTTAGTAGTACAATGAAAATTTTGGCCCATAGAAGTATGAAAACCATGATAATATTAATATCAGGTAATTCAAAAGATCTACATATACTTTCTCCAATTTGGTACTTACATATTGCATTAGATGGGAATATAAAAATAATTTACAACGTAAGAGATAAAACACAGCCCTAGTAATTAATAATTGAGCAACCCAACCAGTATTCGTTAAGTGTCTCCTCACCTGCTCAGGGGAAATGCCAACAATTTCAAAAACATTTTCTTGAATCTCACGCTTATGAATTTCACATGTTAAGTATTGGCAAAAGATCAATATTGCAACTAACAGAGAATAGAGTACATATTTATATACCTCAAAAAAACACTCATCAGTGCTACAGTGAGCAAGAAATTGGGTACCGATGATATTATACAAATTAGGTACCGATGCTATTAAATAAAATATCCATTATATAATCATTGAAGTGGATTCCACACCGACTGATTGTGAGAATGCTATTTGTTAATTGCTCCTCGTGCAAACAAACCAAGTGATAGAACATTCCTGAAAAATGTAAAGTCTTAAAAAACAATTTTGCCCTTCTCATTATATGAACAAAGGTATTATATTAAAATAGTCATTATATATACATAGAGATAGAAAACTAATTACCTCACATTAATAGTTTTCAATGCATGCATTTTATGGGATTTTGGTTTTCATTTTTAATTATGTTAATTTATTAGTTCTTGAAATATTAAATCTATGCTTCAATTAAAATATTTGTTGACCAAGTAGTACTTTTTACTCTGTTAACTTGAAAACTGTTTTTAGAATTGGATTTATAACTGACAAAGTGATGAAATAAGAATACACGAAAAGAAGAGGCAAAGACTACCTCTGAGAAGCCAGCCGGATTAAGGATTGCCCGCACATTTTTTGACATAAAATCAACTCCTAGAACTGTGATATATTGGCAACCAGCTTTTACCATCTTAACAGCTGAATCTGCCATAACTAGCGAATCAAATATATGGATGTGAGGCCAGTGCTTCTGGGCAGCAGTTAAGACCCCTTGGACCTCAGGATCTATGTAAATAAAAATAGTAGAAATTATTTTTTGCATAGCATAGATATTAGAATCGATTTCATCCCAAAAATATACATAGCAATCAGAATTGATTTCATTCCAAAACCCAAAAAATGAGAAGAATCCAAGACAGCAGAGCTCAGAGAGACCCAAAATTAGATGCAAATAGATAGTAATCGAGGTCAAAAATAATGAAAAAGGGCAATTGTCACTGCGAAAACATCATGATTTCCAAATTAGTATCTAATTATCGTCATCGCACACATGAACTATCCCAACTTGAAACAAATGAGACCCGGACATTGCCGTGATCGAACCATACCTGTTTAGATATTTTTTATGACGATAGCCAATTTAGATATTCAACACAAATAAGTATTTCAAAACACAATTTCAATTAACTTATTTTGAAATTGGGTTTTCAAAACACACGATAGGGTCATTCCATCAAAACACACCATAGACTTCAAAACACACCATCACAACCCTTCCATCAAATTAAGCAAAGCAGAACACTACACAATAGACTTCAGAGCAAAACAAAATGTAAATGAGAAGAATCCAAGACAGCAGAGGTGAGAGAGACCCAAAATTAGATGCAAAGAGATAGTAATCGAGGTCAAAAATAATGAAAAAGGGCAATTGTCACTGCGAAAACATCATGATTTCCAAATTAGTATCTAATTATCGTCATCGCACACATGAACTATCCCAACTTGAAACAAATGAGACCCGGACATTGCCGTGATCGAACCACACCTGTTTAGATATTTTTTATGACGACAGCCAATTTAGATATTCAACACAAATAAGTATTTCAAAACACAATTTCAATTAACTTATTTTGAAATTGGGTTTTCAAAACACACAATAGGGTCATTCCATCAAAACACACCATAGACTTCAAAACACACCATCACAACCCTTCCATCAAATTAAGCAAAGCAGAACACTACACAATAGACTTCAGAGCAAAACAAAATGTTTCCAGACAAAATTCAAAATAAGCATTATTTGCATTGGCTCTATAATAAAAAATCACCAAAATGTATGGAAAGTTACTTCATTCAAAATAGGTCCATTAAAAAATTGCACCTCTGCAATAAATACCAATAATAAAATCATGGACCCAAAAAGAAAGAAAAAAAAAAGATAAGGCCATTCAAGAAAAAACTTATGCAAATGTATTGCAACTTAGGCAATGAAAACTTTAACAAAAACTTATTTTTTGACCCAAAAGAAAGAAAATTCAACAAAAACAGTAAAATAAAATAAAAAGACGTGTTTAACATATTCTCAAGTAAGTGAAGAGGGTTTTTGAATTTATATAATAAGGGAAAATATAAAATGTAAAATTCAAATATAAAATGACTTAAACAGGAAAATTCAAATGAAATGTAAAATTAAAAATAAATTTAAAAAAAAAAAACCCATCTCCCGTATTCAAAAAATAAAAAATAAAAAAATCTCAGCCATTCAAACAAAATGTAAAATTAAAAATAAAAAAAGAACCATTCTCCCTTATTCAAAAATAAATAAATAAATAAATAAAATTAGAGATGGGTATAGATGATTTACTGTCTTTGGGTCCATGAAAATCCACAGAGAACTTCTCCACCTTATGGTCACTCATCATCTTATTTCACAACAATCAAAACCCAACTATTAAAATAATAATAATAATGTATGTGTCTTAGATTCACACACATTGTGTAATATGTGTCTTAGATTATTCTCACACACTTACATACACCTACACGAATTTGGGATTGGTGCTGTACATGAGTGCATAGTAGATCTATTAAATAATTCAGATTAATTATATATTTATAATTTATAATAAGATTATGTTTATGTTTTAAAAAAATAAATAGTTAATATGATTTTGATAATTTTTTTAAAAAGTGGAGTTTGATCATGAGTCTATATTTATTCCATTAACTTGATTTTTTATACAAATGATGTACTCAACGAATCCTATAATATAAATCATTCAATTCATGAAAATATGATCCGAACAAATCTTTAGAGTATGACACTAACACCCATCCCAAATCCACACCTAGAAACCAATATATATATATATCTATATATAACACATTTAATTATCTAATACACACAAATTAAAGTCAGTACACCTTGTTTTAAAAAAAAAAAAAAAAGTCAGTACACAAATTAAGACAAACCAAGAAAAATAACAAAAATATTAAATCATTGTTAATTGTACCATCATTATGTCAAAAAGCCCAACACATTAAGCTGAAAGCTACATAAAAATTAAAGAACACAACAACAACAAAAAAAAAAGAAAAAAGAATTGAAAAACCCAAAATTGATTCTTGTTATTGTGAGCAGAAAAATTAAAGAACACAACATCACTTGGGCATTTATATTTATCTATAATCTTTTTTGACTTCTAGAAACAAAACTTAATCTAGACATTGAACAAAGACAGACAGATTAAGCTGAAAGCAACATAAAAATTGAAA